AGTTTAAATTAGCCCCCACATTAAACCATTATGATGTTTATTTATATAGCGCATTTCACAGACCAAGGTTACTTGGGCAGGGGAAACCTATGCAGACAAAGAGAACATGCAACTTCCACTCAGAAAGGCACTGTTCCGACCAGGATTCGAACCCAGGACCTTCATGTCAAGAACCGAGAGTGCTATCCACTCAGCCACCGTGCCGCACTGTGAACCCGAATAGTGGGGAAAACTAATGTTTCTAAGACTGACCCAGGGAATATATAGGGCTACTTTGTCCTGGCCCTGTCAAGTACGGTTGGTAAAAATAAATACAATGATTTTTTGGGTCAAATTAGTTTTTCAAAATGTTGAATGCAGCTGGTTGCCATGACAAATATTGAAATGAGCAAACGCAGATACAGTAAGTTGACCTCACTCTAGCTCGGTGAACTGTAAAAACGACAACTCAAAATTGTTCACCTTACTCAGATTTTTGGATTTTTGGAACTCAGAACTGGAACTGTCTCTTGTGAGCCACTTGAACTCACTTTCAGAAATTCAACTTCAAAGTAAAGTCAACTTAATATATCAAATAAGATGAACTTTTCATCAGAAACTTCTGAAAGTGAGTTCAAGTGGCTCAAAACAGACAGTTGCAGTTCCAACTGGCAATTTTATTATCAGTGAATGCAAAAATCTTAGTAATGTGAACAATTTTGAGTTGTATTTTTTACAGTGAAGAGATGGGGTTAAATGCTCCACTAAGGTAAAAAGCGCTGCTCTGAGGGTTCGGGAAAAATCCAGGGGGAAATCACAGAGGTGGAAATAGACATTGTGCAATCAAGTGGCAATTTCCACTTGCTCAGTTATGTGAATGTAAAAGAAAGGAATTGGCCACTTGAAAAACATGACTGTTCTTCGTATTGGGGTTACAATCCCTTGGGTAAAAGTTTTAATGTAAAAACTTTTCACTGTTTTAATGTAAAACTTTTACTGCAATTAGTGTCATATTCAGAGCGTAAAAGTGGCAAGACAGACTGGGGATAACGACTTTATTTTTTACATTTGGAGGTGGCGGCATGGTGGCTGAGTGGATAGCACTCTCGCCTCTCAGCAAGAAGGTCCTTGGTTCAAATCCCAGTCAGACCAGCCTTTCTGAGTGGAGTTTGCATGTTCTCCCCATGTCTGCGTAGGTTTCTCCCGGGTACTCCGGTATCCCCTACCACCAAAAATATGTGCAATAGGTCTGGCATGCTCCTCCTGTTCGGCGACCCCGCTCCCATCTCTGTGTAGAGTGAGAGACAAATGCCCAAAATATAACAATTGTAAACCGCTTTGTGACTCTGGTCTGTGAAAGGCGGTATATAAATAAAGATTACTTACTGACTTACTAGCATGGTTCTAACATAGATTAAACATTTCATACAAACTTATCACTCATAAATCTATAATAATAATAATGCATTATATTCTGGGCACTTACAAAAGATACAAGTTAAAAGCACTAAACAGTTTAAAGCATATATTTCTGGAACAATCTTCCTGAAAACGTGAGGCTGGCATCTACTCTGGCAGTTTTCAAATCCAGGTTGAAAACATTTCCATTTTAACCGTGCATACAACTGAAGGATTTTATATTTACTCTTTTTAATGCACTGTGGCTATTTATTATTTTAATCCCATGTGTGATTTTAATGTTTTAAGCTTTATAATTACTTGTGATTTTTTTCTGTTTTGAAATATTTCTCGTGTTGTTTATCGTTTTTCATTGTTGTTTTATGTTTATGTAGATTTTAATGCTTATAATTTGCTTGATGTGATGTGGGTTGTGAGGCGCTGTGTGTTGCCTCGTGTAGGAAAGTTGATGGATTGATTGATTGATTGATATATTTAATTATTGTATACGGTTATATAACAGAGGAATGTGGGGGGAATAGGCCAGTCGGAAATAAAGTGTTTATAGTGTGGACTGGAAATGTGGGTAGAGTGCCAGTGTTGCGGAGGTCAGGGGGAAGGGTTAATGCTGTTCCCCAGGGTGAGGTGCTGGAGGGAGGAGGAGGAGGAGGACCAGAGTGAGCACGTGAAGTGGAGGAGCTAGAAATCAGAGGGATAGAAATCATCCCTGTGAACGTGTGAAGCTGGATAGTGATGGGTTTTGAAATTGCGCCGGACATCAACTACCTCCCGACGCAATAATACATGAAGTGCAACTCTGACAACACCCTGTAAACCCATTAAGAACATGCCAGAGTTTCCCGTAGCTACAAATTAATTATCGATCTGGTTCACTTTAACTGGACCAAAGTGTGGTTCGGTTTGATCAAAAATTCTTCATTTGTGTGCACACTGTTCCTGTAGCCACATGAGTCAAATCATGACTTTTGAAACGGATCTGTAACTTTAATGAAGACTGGTAACTTGGTTTCACTTGGGACCGACTGTGAAGCGCCCTTATGTTAGTAGAATTGTATTAAATCTGATTAGAACCCTTCCTTCCTCCCCTCCCTACCTCCACTTATTCCATATCTGTATAAATTCCATGTAAATATTGATTTGCATTGTTTCCGTATAATGCAATATGTCACTTTCGCTCCTAATGCTTCCAACCAAAATGAAAAAAAAAATGTAGGAGGATAAAATGGAGTCATAGTTTGTGAATTGTCTGTGTTGCGCCCTCCTCGCCCGGGTGTTTTTTAACCTTCTGTTACAGTGTTGGGGCTGCTGATTGGCTGAGTGCTCGGCCCAGAACTTTCACTCTCACTCTTGGTGATTGCGGAGTCCTGGATGTGGCCAAGAGGGTCTGGGCCTGCACACCTCTTCACTCACACGCTCATGTAGCATAAGGTTATCTCTACTGATACTCACTCGCACGTACGCACCACAGCGCATCCCGGATTTATACTGATACCACAAGCTAATCTGAAACAGTCTTCCTGAAAATGTCAGACGGGCTTCTTCACTGACAATGTTCAAATCCAGGTTAAAAACAGTTCTGTTTAGCTGTGCATACAAGGATTGTAATCTTCACTCTTTGACTGTGATTCTTTATTATTCAAACGTGTGTATAATTGTTTTTATCTTTTTCTGTCCAGCACTTTGAGTTGATTTGTGTATGAACTGTGCTATACAAAAAACTTGCCTCCCTGTGAGCCAGAGGAACATAACGGTCGGAAAACAAACGGACAGCGTCTATGTTTGCGGACAGAATCAAATCTGGCTCAGAAGATTGTGGTGATGACTGTTATACCAGGCAGCGCAGAAACATAAAACCCTACAGAACCATCTCTGACAAATGGAGTCTGAGCCTATTCTATCTTTGTTAAAATTGTCACACACCTTTGCCTTATTTCATGTATGTTTTCAAACGAAATCCTCCTCTGACATGTCATACTGTATGTGAGTGCCAATGTGTGACAATGAGATGTTTTTTTTCAACCACTATTCCACTCCAATCTTGAGGTTTCTCTCTTTTTCCCACTGGGTTTTAGAGTCCTGCTGGTGCAGGGGGGTCTGTTGAACACTCAACATTCAGCATTCAACAATACAATACAATACAGTACAATACAATTTATTCTTGTATAGCCCTAAATCACAACAGAGGTCATCTCAGAGGACTTAACAAAACCATTGAAATCGCCAACACAGATCAGAGAATCAACAGTTGAAACACATAGAATATAGAACACATGTTGAAAAATGTCCATACATGTTGTAGAATGTTAAAGTGTCCTGGATCATCACCACAGTCCTTCTACTTAGACACTAACTAACTGCCCAACAGACCCTCCTGCATCGGTAAGGAAAAACTCATTTAAAAAAAAACCAGAGGGAAAAAGTGAGAAACCTCAGGGAGACCCATGGTTTGAGAAAGGGATCCGCTCCCACAGACGGACGGGCTATAGATCCAGGACCTAAGCTTCAGGACGTGGACCAGCGGCCGCTGAACGTGGACAGGTCCGATGCAGGACTGAGGCACTCCCAGGCGGGTCGGGCAGGGCAGTCCGCAGGTGTAGATGGAGGAGCAACATGTTTTACATTTATCAACATTTATGGACATTGGTCACCTGCCCTGTATATGGACCAATGGCTCCATGTGCTTTTTGTATCATTGCATTTCTTGTGTTTGAACTGAATCTGTGTTGGCAAATTCAACGGTTTTGTAAAGTCTTCAGAGATAACTACTGTTGTGATTTAGGGCTGTACCAAAATAAAATGAATTGAGTTGAATTGAACCATCTACTTCATTGGCTGCAGGAAACATGTTGCTTTAGTGAGGACATAATTACACAAAGCCAACCCTTGTTTGAACCATGTAACCAAACATAATTCATGATTTATTGTTTGGCGCTAATCGTCCATCTCCTCATCTGTTTCACACTGTGCCATATATATGGAGCTAAATCTGAAAATATATACTTCACTCATTACTGGGTTGAGCCTTTCAGTTTTCAGATTGCGTTCTATATGTGCTTGTTTGCAGTAGCACAGTTTCAGTTTTGTTTGATTTCTCGCGTCTTGCTTCCTGTCAGCGGTGGGTAGTTGCGTTGACATCAATTAGAGAGAAGGATCTGAAATGGATTGATCTTTCTTTACTCTCTTATAAAACGCCAAAGAAAACATACACAAGATTCAGTTGTTTGGTACTCGGCTAATAGGCATTTTTATTGCCTGTATTAATGCTTTGACCACCGACTATATAGACAGTTTGGAGTTGGTATATGGTAATTGTTGAGTTCCAAAAATTAGTGCTAAAAGGGTGAATACAAATGATCCACATGCCTAATTTGGTTTAGATAATTCTTGCACACTTTCTGTAAATGATATAAACGTATACGTATATATACATTTATTTAACCTCTTAAATACCACAGTGTTTGTCTCCTATATGATGTATTTAACTGACATTTCTTATCCAAAACAACCAATGATTTATGAGGAAAAATCATAACAATTGTAAAACTGTTTCATACCACTGTATATTTATATGGATTTGTGTGTTTTTTTGTTTTTGTTTCCAGAAGTGGAAGGTGAGCCAGACCAAGATCCGGGTCATCTCCACCCTGATCTTCATCCTGTTCGGTTGCGTGCTCTTCGTGGCTCTCCCGGTGGTCATCTTCAAACACATCGAGGGCTGGAGCACGCTGGAGTCCATCTACTTTGTGGTCATCACACTCACCACCATCGGCTTTGGAGACTTTGTGGCTGGAGAGAAAGGTACGAGTGCAATTTGGGACGCACACTGCTTTGGTTTTTTACACCCTCAGAGCAAAACAATGGAAGCAACTTATTTATTTGTTTTACTTTTTTGTGTCTTTGCACAGTGGGTCTCAACATGATCAAAGCCAATTTCAAGTACCATATTACCACACATTTTAAAACATCTTTTCAGCCATTGTGCCAAACAAGACAAGAAAATATAATAATACAACAGTAAACAATAGTAATAATAATAATAACAATAACAACAACAATAATAATAATAATAATAATCATAAAAATAATAATGATGATGATAATAATAATAAATAATAATAATAATAATAATAATAATAATGATGATAACAATATTAATAAAAAATACATACATACATACATACATAATAAAGGGCCCGGGTTAGCTTTAATTCACAGATACAGATATTTTATCAAACAAATCTGCTGCCCGTGCCATACAATATATCTTTATAAAATGAAGAATATGAAAAATGAAATAGAAAATTAACAATGTGTCCTGCTAATGCTACATATTCATGGCTTTCTGTCGCATTCGGATCATGCATTACAAAAGCTCTCATTACAGAAATTAGAACAATAATATGCCTAAACGTTGTTCCTTCCGCTTCTGTTGTCCGATCGGTTTCAAATGGTGCAGCGTTTTATAATAATGTACGTGGAAGCAGCTGGACGGCACCTGATAAGCAACTGTGACAGACGGTTACATTCAAAACACTAGATTACATTTCCCATGGCAGGACTAATGGTTATAGATCAGATTAGCGGACCTGCGTCAACACCGCTGTTACCGTAAACTAATCAGGCCTGTTAGTTAAAATGATCTCTCTGCGGTGGTGCGCTGGCAATTTCATAAAGATATTAACAGACGGGAAGCACAGATTAACATGTGTGTGGGGCTTTAAATTGAGAGAACTGGTGTGTTGGCTGGAAGTGTAGGCTGTTACTGTGTGTGTGACTTGAGAAATGTAGGCCTTTGAGAAGAAGAGTTTTTATTTCATTGTTTTAAATCCATGAAGATTTGGGAATTGGAAATCACACTGGTTTATATCATTCATAATTTTACTCCCTGTAGATGCCACGCTAAATTCAATATAATAATCCTAATCCTAAATCATAACAGTAGTCGTCTGGGAGGACTTTACAACAGATCTGAGAATCAAACGGTTTAAACAGACTGGAAATGCAAGAATAAAAAACACATAGGAGCCAGTGGGCCATGAACCATCTCACAACCTTGACCAATACATGACCAATAAGTGCATAAATGTCCATAAATGTCCATAAATGTCCTAGATCATCACTGTCTTTAGACCCTCCTGTATATGCAGCTCCAGCTTAATTGTGTTTGCGACCACTGCTGCAGAACATGTATTATTCATTTCTCCTCAGAATTTAGACAAAGCACAATATGTTGTGCTGAAATGACTTTTTACTTTGGTTCCGAGTTCCAGCCAATCAATATTCAAAAAAAAAAAGCTGAAGACGACCATTTCTTGACATAAAGCTCAAGTGGACTGCAAAAAGTGGAGATGGATTTGTCAAAAAATGTACAGTTTGGCAGAAGTGTATCTTAATTTGAGCACATTTGACTGCTTTGAAACAAGATTTGCCAATAGGACAAGCAAAATGATCTTATTTTTTAAAAGAAATGTTATTACACGGCAAAAAAAATATAAAATAGTGGTTTTTCTATTTGTATGAGTACATTCTGACTGCCTTAAAACAAGATTTGCCAATAGGACAAGCAACATGATCTTGTTTTAAAAAGAAATGTCTGCCTTGGAATGAAAATTAAGCATTAACCCATAAATTAACACTAAATAGCTTGTCCCATTGACAAGAATTTAGTTTTACGTCAGTCAGAATGTACTCATATACAGATAAAAAACTCGATTCAAGCAGTGTCATAGAATTCAGTTTTCTTATCTTTTTTTTCATTTATTGGATCATTAAACGCTGTAGAAGAGCCACTCGAGCAAATCACAGCGGTATAGGCTTGACCCGCGCAGCCCCGTTCTTCTTGATGTGGCTGATGTAACCGCGTTGTGTAATCCACTTGTGTCTTGTGTTTTGGCCCCGTAGGTGGGTCAGAGAGTCCGGCGGGAGCGTCCACGGAGAACCATATTTACCTGAACTACTACAAGCCCGTGGTGTGGTTCTGGATCCTGGTGGGACTGGCGTACTTTGCCGCCGTGCTGAGTATGATCGGGGACTGGTTCCGAGTCATCTCCAAGAAAACGAAAGAAGAGGTGCGTGTCGTGAATACCAAAGTTTTACATAATACAGAAGTGGAAGAGGCGGAGGATTGTAGCAGCTCTTACATTGGAATAGAAAGTAGCTACAGATTTGGTATAGAAGGTTTGCATGTACTGTAGATGTGTGGGTTACATATGTACGAGAGAATTTCAAAACATTTCCAAACAGCCTATGCATATTCTAAACACAATTCCATAACATCCTACAAATCTGAATCTGAATGTCAATGTCAATGTCAAGCTATGAAACTCATATCCACTCCTAATGGGGAATATGTCAGTTACAATTATCGTATTGACGAAAAGGAGTAGGCCTAAAGCAATTACAGTGCATTTAATGAATTGGTTTTGAATTCAATTTCAATTCGACTTTATTACAGTGTCCTGGTCCAAAATTTACAGACAGAATACAATAGAAAACAAACAAACAGACACAGACAGACAGACAGATAAAAACAGTTATGCTTTTGAAAGACAGCCACACCAGTGTCTCTGAAATCATTGCACTCCACCTGGTGTTTGTTTAAGATAAAAGAAGACAAAACGTTACTGATCTCATAATGAAAATATGTACCTGTTTCATTTGGCCTCAATAATATCAATGAGGGAGAGCAAATAGTCAGGATATGTGCGAACAGTTAAAAAATTATTCCATATTTAACCTGGTCCAATCATTACTTCATGAAACAAAATGGAGGCCTCTCTCCTGAAGCAGCCGCGATGAGCAGCGGCTGCAAACAAACCTCCTCAGTCCTGTGCAGAGACATTGCGTCCGTCTGCTGAGATTTAAGGAACAACACTGAGTAAAAGAGGAGAGGAGCCGTGCTAAAGGTCGACTTTGAACCTTCCGAGGTTAATGCATAAATGAAGAGCCCTGAGAAAAAAGGGCTCATCCCACACGGCGAAGGTGAGATCAATGCGTCTGTTTTCCTGAGATACAAGCGCTCGCGGAACTGAAGTCTTGCATAATATAGCGAGGTCTGCTTTTGAAGAAGTCACGTCAGGCAAACAACTTTTTAGCTAATGTGAAAATATTAGGAATTGTGTTTGAACGTCAGGTTTTTTACACTAATTAGGAGGAGGAGGTGCTGGGACTGTTTGGAGGAGTTGGCACATTCACAAACAATAGAAAATGCAAATAAGAGTTTTGTGTTAGAGGCGATGTATGCTGTAAGAGCTGTGTCTCAGCGTGTTTCTAATTATTGAGAAGGTGTTTAGTGCAGTGGAAGCATGAATCGGAGCCAGTGATGTTCATATAACTTATGTATGTATTGACCATGTTATACAAAACTGAAAAAACAAAAACAAATGTATATACTTTTTCAATTGAAGATCAAATATTCCCTCCTCATTTTTTATAGTCGATCGCAGTCTACACTTGTTTGTACTTCTTTAAATGATTTTATGAAACACAGACAATGATTTATTGATTTCTAATTACATAAACAGTAGATGTTTATTCGGGGGTAACTAATTTTCAATCCATCTAGTTTCACATGTGTGTTTTTGGCCTGTGTCGCGTCTTTAGATCAGCCTTTTCTGACAGAAAAGAGCATCTTCTTCCACTAATCTTTTCTCAGCCCGAAAAGTCAAATAGTGACTCAGATGCTCTTTCTTACAGGTATGCAAAAAATAACATGTTTTCTAATAAAATGAAAACAGTATGTGATGGCATGATGCCACAATATTTCATTTCATTTCATTTTTTTATCCTTTCTGTTGGGACAAATAAAATGTGTTATTTATGCTGAGCAAAGTTAGGCAACCCAGCTTTAAATAATAATAATTTCATATGTAAAGTTAACCAAAAGAAAATGTTTCATGTGTAGTTCCTGGACTGGTGTTGAATGTAGAAATAATGAATGAATATAGAAAGTAAAATTACACTGTTTCACTGAAAAACTGCAATTTCAAAATATAACTTAAACTCTTGTTTTATTCTAATATTGTCTTCATGGAGATAGATACATAGATATATAGATAGATGGATAAAAACACATCCATCCACACAGACAAAACCAATAAATGTATCATTCTTAAAAGCTAATAATAGTAGTAGTTATAATAATAATAATAATAAAAATAATAATAATAATAGTGTATCATTATAGATTTTAGTTTTCATAAGTTATAAGTGACACAGTCCAGTGAATCAGCCACATTACTGCTCTAGTCAAAGCCGTGTCATGTGACCCTGTGTCTTGCTCGTGGGCAGGTGGGGGAGTTCCGAGCCCACGCCGCAGAGTGGACCGCCAACGTGTCGGCAGAGTTCAAAGAGACCCGCCGGCGCCTCAGCGTGGACATCTACGACAAGTTCCAGCGCGCCGCCTCCATCAAGCGCAAACTGTCCTCGGAGCTGGGAATCAACGCCACGCTCAGCCAGGAGATGACCCCCGGGAAACGGACCCTCTCAGTCAACCTGGGGGACGAGTGCTACAACCTGTCCCTGCCCTTGACCCCCGTCCCAGGAGCCCTGACCCGCAACGGCAGCCTCTATCTGAACGGACTCAGCCCAGACTACGCCGTGGAGCGACGGGACCTGCCAGGAATGGATAGTCTCAAGTAGAAGTGAGACAGAGGGCTGCATGATTAGAGCTGCAAAAAATGCTGCAAAAAGTGCTGCAAAAAGTCCAATCACATTGAGATTTGCATTTTTATTTACTTTAAAGGGGCATTTCTCTACTGTCCTAGTGGTGCTATATCTAATTTTGAAAGATGTAAAATGATGTGTAATTGAGGATTTCTTACATTTCAAACCAAAAAAAGAAAAAAAAGCAGATATCGAATTAACAAAACGCGGGTCACCACCAGGACAGTTGAGGAATGCATTTTAAAATGTTTTATTTTGGTCACTGAGCATATTTTAAACAACACCAGAAATGAGAATTCTTCAACTAATAATAATATACAGAACTCCAAACATTTTGAGAGTAATTTAACTCATTCATCCTGATTCTAGTAGATTTTGACTGGATTCAAATAAGCGTTAGATATTTTGTACCAATTTGGTTCTTCTTTGGAATTAGGGGGAAAATGCCACTGTGCATTGCTCAAATTTTCAGACTGAGTTTACAGCCCTGATTTCTTTACATGGAATCTTATCATTGAATTCCTGTGTTCAAACTGATGGATTCTCTGATCCGTTGTTGGCAAAAAATTGACAACTTCTTGACATACTCCTGGTAGGCGGCTGCTGTTGTGATTTAGGGTTATACAAAATACATTGAATAGAATTGAATATTCCTCAGTAGAATATCAAAACAAATACAAACCTTACTCTTTGGTTGGCTCGCCTCTACTCAAATGCGACTTGTAACTCAGCCGTCACTTTCTTGTTTCAATTGTAGAAGCGATAATATATTATGATGCTAACCACAAGCGAAAACATTGAAATCAGTGCGCATTTAAGACTAAACCGCAAGCAATTAATAATATTAATCAAATATGCTCACGCCAAAATGAATACAGCCGTTCGTCAGTCTGAATGGTTCTTTTTGTCATTTCTGCATTGAGAAATAATTGTAATTTTAGTGATTTCTAAATTGCAGCTAGACAAATTGCAAGTCAAATGCGATTAGATTGGGATTAATCTTGCAGCCCTGTCAGGAAGGTAGTTTTATTGACTGAGCATCTTCTAATAATGACTCAACTGGACCAAAAGTCAATAACGTCCCATCAGGAGGAACCGTCCAAGCCATTTCCTCAGAAACTGTTTTTGTGCCAATTACATCCAATGAACACTTATACAGACTGGACTGAAGATTGTATCTCAAACCAAGACACAATAAGCATCTAAATATACTTTATAAATTGTAGCAACGCTTACAGATCAGGCGTAACACTCCCACATTAGGATTTCTTTCTGGTCTCATTTTTTATTGTTGTAAATCTGGGAACATTTTGTCCTTTTCAGCCGAGTGTCAGAAGAAGGCATAATGAGCGCGAACAAGGTTGAGTGGTTTGCTGGCTGGAGGAGTGAATTATTAAAATTGCATCTCATAGGCAAAGCGGTGTACCACGAAGGAATTATGCAGAATTTCCTTTTTTGAGGTTTAAAAACAAATTTGGAAATGCTGTATCGTGTTTCAGACAAGCCACAGCTGGTGGAGGAGACATCACCTTCTAGTTATTGCCTTTGACAGCAATGTCCCACAGAATAGTATATACAGTTATATCTTTCCTTTGGTACATTTGTGGGTGTGTATTGCCAAAAGACAGTTTGTTTTTCCACTGTGTCACCTACTTACAGAGATTATTGAGTATTATGCCATTGTCGCACATGCAGACATAACAACAACACTCCCACTGACGGCTACAGTGAGTGTGGGTTTACATAAGTTCACAAACTACGATAATAAACCCGTCTCCCTTTTGGTTCACTCCACGTGCCTCTCGGAATGCTTTTAAATGCTTTCAAAGACGCCTTCACTCATACCTCAAACTTTGCAACTGTAATTGTACATAAAATTGCTTTCGTACATGCAGCTTAAGCACAAGGTCGGCAAATGTATTCACACGTTTTGCTAACTTTGGTTTTTTCGCGCCGCTCTTAAACGCACCATGATTCCTGTGAAGTTCTGCTTTTGCTTTGTGTGCGACAAAACACAACAGGGAAAAACACATGAACCCAGGGACTGCACGCTTCACCGATATGATAATGGCCTTTCCCTGCGCTCTTAAATGCATCTGCCAGTCTTGTCTCAATTGGATCCCGCAGCGGAAACAGTTTGATTCAGTTATTTTAAACATACTGGTTTTTCACACCTCAATCACAACGTGCAGGGTTTACAATGGATCTAATTAAAACTAGGATCCGGTTTTCTCTCATGCTTTGTAAACTCACTCATAAAACTGGGATGTATTTGTGCGCACAAAACGAGAATGTGATTGTTTTCCTCCTCACAATGAGACCTTTTAGCGTTACGCCTGATCTGTGTGCTTTAGTAGAGCTTCTGGCTGAACTTTAGATAGCAATACATTTATTTCTCATTGTATTTTGAGGTCTTGAAGTCTGCATCAGATAAAAGCATCCTCCTCAACTACGGTTTGTCACTCGCACTGAGACATGTGTTTTTTTGTTTTTGACACGCTGTAAATGTTTCTGGCCTTGCATTTGTACTGCTGCTTTTCAAATATGAGCAATTTACTGCGTTCATCTTAAGGAATATTGCACCTGTGCCTTAATGAATCCAAATGGAGGTTTATGATGGAGCCTTCTGTGTAGCACGAGACGGAAAGGAAAAGAGTGCAATTGTGTTTTTGCTGGCACGTTTCACAATGATTGCTATTGTTTTTTTGTTTTAAAAAAAATCTGATTTAAGCTGAGGAAACAGTCAAAGGTCTTACATTTATTTGATCACAAATCACTTTTAAATGAAAAAATAGCGCTCAATCATCAAAGAATCAGACAAGAAAATAAGATTAGACTTTCTTGGCAATAATTATCATGACGCAGGATCTCTGTAATTCAAAATATTTCAACTAAAATATGAATGAATGTTTTTACCCTGTTTATTCCATGTATTTCAATGACACATGTCTGCAGAAAGTCAAACATATTGGCACATACTGAGAAAGATGAAGATAATGGAAAAAGTAGAATTGTTGAAATATCCAGATAGAATTTTGTTTAAAAAAAATCTGAATAAATTCTCTAATTTCACGAAAACAGCATTTGCTCAGATTTGAAGTCCTGAATTTCTAACATCAGTTAATGCGACATTCCACACATTACATAGGAATGTCCAAGCCATGGCCCCCGGGACAATTACGGCCCTCCCAGCATTCGTTCTCAGGGGTCCTGCACACATTTATGACATTTAAGAAACCAAAATTAAAGCTGGGATACCTAACTCTGAAACCACAAAAAGCCTATGTAATTGTATCCATGTAACTTGTTCTAAAATTACTCAATTACTAATTTCATATGTTTTGGCCTCTGTTCTCTTTTTAGCTCACTCAGTATTTAAAAGAGAACATGTTTTCTAATAAGATAAAGCTGCTGAGGTCTAATTTCTGTTAGAAAAATAACATTTGTTTATGAACCTATTATGAAGTTAGGTAGTCCAGCTTTACGCTTGTTAGTGTATCTTGCATTATAAAATGTGAATAATGTTGTGTTGGCTCTGAATAACCTTTGCTAAATTCAACTAGTGGAATTCTAACTTGACTGACACTTGGCCTTCCTCTTGCTCTAAAAAGTTTCTCATGCTTCAAATCAACAATATTATCATCTGGAAACCTTTTAAGCCTCAAAAACCAATTCCATTGCTTGATTCAACGCCACAAAAAACGTTGCATATTTCCACCTTTGATTAAGACTGTACAGATTATTTCAAGCACCATTAATTTCCTATTGTCTGCGTTAGATTGACAGTCACTAAAGATCAGCGTATATTTAAAGGATGACTTTTAACGTTTTTTCACCTGAGTATAGACACGACAAGGCAGAGGAATGAGTTTCTCTGTCTGGAAGTGTGTGGGCAGTTTGGTTGGACGCTGCCCACGCTGGGACACGGCATTCCCGTTAAATCAAGTGTGTTCTTCAAAACCCAAATCCCAAGCATGTTGAATGTATTTATTCATGACACTACAGACGAGCCTCATTATGAATGTACGACACGGATGGTTCAATGTGTGAGTGGTTTTGGAGGCAAAGATGAGAGTAACAAACGCAGAGAGTGTACACCAATCTGGCAGGACTTTAAAGGAGACATACTATGAAACAAATACTTCTTTGTTTTGAGCTTTTAACCATGTGACAAAATTATTCCCCCATCAAAAGAAAACCTGGAGTTGTTTTTAGGTCCGTCTTATATCTGGAACATCTAGTGCAAACATATAACTCCGGCCCGTCTATATAAAAGCTCCAGTCCTGTAATAGTATGATGATCATTGTGGCACTATGACATCACACTCAGAGCAGTCTTCTGCCTGGTAAAACAAAAGTATTGCCACTAAGTTAGGCCAAATTCTCAAGTGAAATTATGCTCTTTAAAATCACATGGCTGTGTTTGCAGCTGGTAATTGGGAAAAAACAAAACAAATTCCACTGCTCTCTCTGGTAGTCTAACCCTCCATACTTTTGAAACCATATTATTTCTACGCAAGATATTAGTCTCTTCGTGATTTTTAATGGCCAAAAATCCATAATATTTCTTCTTTAAGTTACAAAAACAGCATTTTTTACCAACTATTTAAGAATGACTAATTGCGATCATGTTTTTATTATTGCAGCATATCATGTCTCGAATCTTTATACATTTGGCGGAGAAAGACATGCAGACTAATATTGAAAAGTTGGTGGTCGGTGCTGATTCTCCAGATACTGAACATTGTTGAAAGTTTAAAATATGACATTAATAACTTAACGAAACATCAGTTTGTGTTATCCAATGTTTTGTTTAAATGTGCATTAGTGTTACTGTACAACCAAAGTCTGTTTCGATCAACTGCCTAAAACGAACGCAACTCTGAGTTTGTCCACCTCACTCTCCCGTCCTCCTCACATGCACACTTGAGTTTGCATGCTGCTTTGAGCGTTATTTTTATTGTGTCCAAAATCCT